TCCACACACCAACTTGATCTACACGCTCAATGGATAATTTCTAGTCTGCCTGGAAACCAATGGCCCTTGTGCAATTGGAGGGTGTACCAGCAGGGGGCAGTGTTGTGCTTCCATACTTGAGCCCTTCAGTGGGAGGGTGGGGGGCAGCAGAGGATTAATGAACAGTGAGAGACTGATGCACATTCCTTCCTCTCTATTACTGTATCATCCCCAATGTTCAGCCTTGTGGTTTCTATCTGATTTATCCTGTGTAACAAGTGCAAAAAATAGGCTGAAGACCTATCATTTTTTACATAACACTAATTATCTGGAAACTGTAAAACTATAAACTATCCAACTGGAAAATATTTACCCACATCGCCTATTAAAAGTTAAAGGTTCGGTGTGGAAGGCAGACAGGGGCGAACAGCGAAACACATTACCTACAGACCGAGTCTAACAGCACACACAACCCTTACGATATGCAATGCCACCAACCCCGCCCGTGCCAGCCTGACAGCGACAGGCTAACTTCTCCGGGACACCGGCTCAATCCTGTTGCAATGAAAACACGAAAACGAAACGAAAACGGGGAGTAACTTAAGAGGCTGCTCGGGCAGACGGAAACTGAAGTGTCACCTTACAGTCAGAGGGGAGGTGTGGGCAGTTCAGGAGAACTTTTGGGATATTTATTTTTTCTTTGTGTGGAAAAAAAAAGGCAAAAAAAAAGTTTTTTTCCCCAAACGATACAGAAGCTCTTACCCGCACGAACTTAACAAAAGAGAAATGACCCGAAGCAGCCCCGTACCGGGTTCAGGGACAGAGCGGGCCAGTCTTTCCAGCCCGGGGCAGAACACGGGTTCTGCTGGGCCGCTTACCTGGAGCATCCACTCGGCCAGGATCTCCCGCATGTAGGGCTGGAGGTCTGTCTGCACGGTGCCGAAGTAAGGCCGGCACGGCGGCATCTTTTCCTCCAGCCACAGGAGGTTCTGCAGGACCCGGTCGTCCCTGGTCAGCGTCGGGTCGGTTCGGGCCCGGGCGACTGACACGCCGCAGGGGAGGGACGCCGGTTTCGGGGAGCGGCTCGTTCCGAAGCGCAGGTCCTCCAGGCACAGAAGCTCCATTCGGGTGCAGGACCGCCGAAAGGGAGAGAGTCATCAAGCGGAGCAAGCCCACAGCCCACGGCGGCGCGTTCCTTGTGTGCGGGACTTCACTCCGAGTGACACTGGCGTGGGCAGCGTGGGGTATGCTCCGTTACTGCTGGCGTTAGGAGGGGTAAGACGGCTTGTCGTGGTAAAAGTACTCAGGGTGGCAGGCACTCCAAAATCAAGAGTTCCGGACTCTTTTGTGTAGGAGCTGGGAGGTAGGTGTTTCGGGTATTCCCACGACTGCCCAGTCTGGAGTTACGTGTCTTGGCTATTTCAGATGGAAAAACTCCAAGCGCCAATGGGTCAGCTCGTGTGCGCCTGAACACCTCACCCCGTGCCTACCGCCACCGAGCCCGACCACCGCTGACAGCCCGCCGCTGGCATCTAGACACTATATACGCCTGTGACGTCAGCTGTCGCTGCACCAATGAAGGACGCCGCCGCGGCCATCTTTGTGCGGGGCAGAGGTTTGGGCGGTAGATGTGACGCTGCAGGAAGAGCAGTTCAGGTTAAAATAAAAAAATAAAGCTGCTGTCCTTTCTCCAACATGTCGTTGTGTATCGTTATACTCAAATAAAATATGATATAAAGAAAACCTCTAGAGTTAAATGATTCCTCTTTATTGTGCAGCGGTAGATGAAATCTGTGACAGACATACTCAGACACGAGGCCAGGATTAATTAAAATTAAATGAGCTGTGTTTAGATCAGAGGTCAGAGGAAAACTAGAATGTGAAACTAATAAATGTTATATAATGTAATGTTTTTATGTTACATGTTATTGAACTGAAAATATACATTAACACAAGATGAACTGCATAATACCATTAGGAAATAAAGTTAACAAAGAATGATTAGAGTACTTATGCTGCAAGGGCCTAAACAGTTAAATACATAAAGCATATTGACTTATTAGTAACAAACTTGAAAATGTGTTGTAACATTAAGAATAAAAAATGTCACTTGAAGTTGATCTCTTATATAGAAATCAAATTAATGAAGTTCCCCACTTAGAGATGGCAGAGTACTGCAGGTACTGCTCTTAGTGCCACACACAGAGACACAGCACACACTGACACACAGATACACACGCCACACACTCTCACTTCCAAACACACTGAGCACAGTACAACTCTCTCACTTCCACACACAGACACACACTGAGTCCAGTACTGCTCTCTTACTGTTGCACACACTAAGTCCAGTTCTGCTCTCTTACTGTTGCACACACTGAGTCCAGTTCTGCTCTCTTACTGTTGCACACACTGAGTCCAGTTCTGCTCTCTCACTGTTGCACACACACTCCACACCGAGTACAGTACTGCTGTACATCACAGCACCAGAGATCAGAGCTGACTCTCTTGTTTTTAGTTGTTTTTGTCATCTGAAGTTGAGTGTAAAAGCCATTTCCTGCAGGAGTGGGTACAGTAGAGCTGTGAACTGAAGCCCCAGACAACATTTTCTGAGACACCTGGCAAAGACATTTTGTTTTATTTTTATCATTCTGTTTTAATGGATGTGGTCTCAACTGTCAGCCCCACTTCACTCCACTGCACGCCAATGTGTGCACACACACAAGTATACACACAGCACACATACACACGCCACACATACACTCCACACACACTGCGTACAGTACCGCTCTCTCACTGTCAACATACCCGCTGTCTGTGCCACACACACACTCACTGCCACACACACAAGTACGCTCTTGACACACACACACACCAACAGACATCACACACACAGATAGACTCTCACTACTACACACAGTCAACACAATTCTCCTGCTCCACTGACCTGGCACTGGGGATAAAGACACCTGCACCCCCAGGTGAGACGGTGATAGGGCAAGCACAGCAGCAGGAGCTTACAGTACAGCCGTTTGTTTAATGTTTCCTGTTAACACATCAAGCCACAGACACCCTGAGTCAGGCCTGACTCTCTACTGATGATTTTTAAACTGTGCCTGAGTAGAAGCTGCCTTATCTAAACCCATAGTTCACAAGGGGGTACCTTTACATGCTATTAGTTTACCATAGTACTGTCCGATGGTACCAGTAAACTCAGGACATGACATAACTTTGTGTGGCCACAGGGGAGAGAGGAAATGAGACAGGTAGATGAGATGCCTTCCTTGTGGGGAGAAACCCTAGTGGGACAAGTTATTTTAACGTTGTGAGTATCTTAGTGAGGAAACTGCAGCACCAGGACAAATCAGGAGTGAAAGAGATGGTCATGCAAAAGCAAATGTACATCTGAAGCCCTGTAGCTCTGAAATTCTCTCTATTCTTCCAACCAATCTGCTGAGTCAGGGTGGAGTGGCGATGCCCAGGCTGCTGAGTCAGGGTGCAGGGGGGATTCCCAGGCTGCTGAGTTGGGGAGCAGTGGGGATGCCCCCTGCGGCTCCATGCAAATTCACCCTGACCACACAGCCTGTCTTTTCCTTCTTTCAGTTTCTTTACTGCAATATCGGTGAAGAAGCGAATAGAAATACTGCTCTCCAAAACTTTTTTAAGAGTGAAGCTTTATACTCATTACTTGTGCATCTCTTTGCATCTTGGGCTTTATCACTCCAGCAGAAGGGAGTTGAGATGCCCTCCAGCACACTCCAGCACGCGCACACCCAAGCGGGATGGTGTGAGATAGCATGGACTCACTCCAGCCCAAGTGTGAGACAGCAAACACACAATCCAGCACCACAGAGTGAGACAGCTCGCACACACTCCAGCGTGAGGGTGGGAGACAGCACGCCCACACTCCAGCGTGAGGGTGGGAGACAGCATCCTCTTGCTCTTCCACGGCTCCATCAGTGAAAATGAAGAACGTTTTTTACAGAGCAGCTCTATATGTTAGTGTTTATTTCTTATATTTGCTATTTGATTACCTTTGACAAGGTAAAAATTCAGTAGCAGAAAACTTGTTATGCAGCTCTTTCACATCAGTGGCCTAACGAATGATGGAACATGCTATAGCAGAACTGGGCCCTACAGCACTTACCAAAGCGAGCAGCTTGCTGTACAGCTTCTCTCTGTGCTGTAAACCCGTCTGTGTGCATGGAGAGGAACGGGGACCGCATTGCTGAGTCAGAGAGCGACAGAGCAGCTCCGTATGGCGGCCTGTGACACTGACAGACGTACTGCGCCACTGCGCTTCCTGGCACCAGCCTGACCCCAGCTGAGCACCTGAGTGCGAAACCACACTGAGCACGCTCACTCTCGCACCCATGCCGCTGGCAGACCGCCCCGGCTTCCTCTCTGAGCGTGTCGGCAGCAACCGCATCGCAGACCTTTTTATATTCATCTTCTCAGCTTTGCAATTGAAATGTGTTCTCAGTGTCAAGGCAGATGTGTTGATATGCGTTATCATTTATTTTGTCATGTTATGAGCTGCATGGTCTTTTCTGTGTTTATATGGCCTCTACATATTTTCCATCTTCTGGCATGTATTAACTTTGAAACCTGAAGTCATAACTGATGTCTCCAGAAGCTCAGGTTTGATTCCAGCCACAGCCACCTATAAGTGTGGAGTTTGCATCATCCTTGTTAATGAACAAGTAATAGGTTTATTCCATGCTGAAAAAAAGAAGAAAGAGAACACAACGTTTCGGCCGTGGAGCCTTCTTCAGGTGTGAGAGAGACAGG